AGGTCAGAAAGGTACTGTGGTGGCCTGCAGAGGTCAACAGGCCTCATGTCCAGCACCACCACAACATCGTCAGCCTTTACCACCAGCTACGAACTCTTACAATGTCTACATAGAAAGTATTGATGTGAGGAATATGTTGATCTTCTGAACTTGTTCAATATTAATGTAAATTTCAAATAAGAGACTACAGTGCGAAACCACACACACACACACACACACACACACACATGGAAATGGGATCAGGTGACAGGAGACCAAAGGGACAGTACACAATGAAGGGGAACAGCCTACCTGTAACGATTCGAGAAAGAGACCTGGGAGTGGATGTGACACCTAATCTAACTCCTGAGGCACATATAAATAGGATAACGACAGCAGCGTACTCTACACTGGCGAAAATTAGAACTTCATTCAGAAACCTAAATGAGGAGGCTTTTAGGGCGCTTTACACTGCCTACGTGAGACCCGTCTTAGAGTATGCCGCGCCATCATGGAGCCCCCACCTGAAGAAACACATAACGAAACTGGAGAAGGTTCAGAGGTTTGCGACGAGGCTTGTCCCAGAGTTACGAGGGATGGGATATGAAGAGCGGCTGAAGGAACTGAACCTTACGACACTAGAGAAAAGAAGGGAGAGAGGAGATAGGGACATATAAAATACTCAGGGGAATTGACAAAGTGGAAATAGATGAAATGTTCACACGAAATAATAACAGAACGAGGGGACATGGGTGGAAACTGGAAACTCAGATGAGTCACAGAGATGTTAGGAAGTTTTCTTTTAGCGTGAGAGTAGTGGAAAAATGGAATGCACTTGGGGAACAGGTTGTGGAAGCAAATACTATTCATACTTTTAAAACTAGGTATGATAGGGAAATGGGACAGGAGTCATTGCTGTAAACAACCGATAGCTGGAAAGGCGGGATCCAAGAGTCAATGCTCGATTCTGCAAGCACATATAGGTGAGTATATATAGGTGAGTACACACACACACACACACACACACAGGACATATAATGACAGGCTATTTAACACAAGGGGCACACTCACTAGGGGACACAGGTGAAACTGAGTGCCCAAATGAGCCACAGAAATATTAGAAAGAACTTTTTTAGTGTTCAGAGTACTTGACAAATGGAATGCATTAGGAAGTGATGTGGTGGAGGCTGACTCCATACACAGTTTCAAATGTAGATATGATAGAGCCCAGTAGGCTCAAGATCCTGTACATTAGTTGATTGCCAGTTGAGAGGCGGGACCAAAGAGCCCAGAGCTCAACCCCCGCAAGCACAACTAGGCAAGTACAACTAGGTGAATATACACACAAAAAACTATTAATGCAACTACAGCAAATATATAAATCGACCTGAATTCACAAGGAGAATTATAAATTATTAATTTTAAAGGGAAAAAATACCTGAAGATTGGAAATAGGCAGCAGAGAGAGAGAGAGAGAGAGAGAGAGAGAGAGAGAGAGAGAGAGAGAGAGAGAGAGAGAGAGAGAGAGAGAGAGAGAGAGAGAGAGAGAGAGAGAGAGAGAGAGAGAGAGAGAGAGAGAGAGAGAGAGAGAGAGAGACAGACAGAGAGAGAGACAGACAGAGAAAGAAAGAGACAGAGAGAGAAAGATATAGAGACAAAGAGAGACAGAGAGACGGCAAGGAGGAAGGGGGGGGCGGGGATTACACATGCCATTACCCTCCAGAAAGTAAATACTGAACATGTTTTCTCAAATCGATAAGTTTAACAGGGAGTGTCCGGAATGATTGTCAGGTGCCGGGCCGCTGGAGGTAGCGACGGACGGCTCTTGCATTATGTTCGGCTTTTTAATGTCACTGTCTGTTGCACCAAGTCTCTGTCTGGCCTGATCTATATTTATCTCGAGCGCCAGCTCTGTGGGGCTCGCTAGGAGCTCTGGTGGGGGCTTACTAGGAGCTTTTAGGGCTCGCTAGGAGCTCTGGTGGGGGCTTACTAGGAGCTTTTAGGGCTCGCTAGGAGCTCTGGTGGGGGCTTACTAGGAGCTTTTAGGGCTCGCTAGGAGCTCTGTGGGCTCGCTAGGAGCTCTGTGGGCTCGCTAGGAGCTCTGGTGGCTCGTTAGGAGCTCTGGTAGGGGCTCGCTAGGAGCTCTGGTGGGGGCTTACTAGGAGCTTTTAGGGCTCGCTACCCTGGAAACACAAACCGTAACTGTCTCTATTTTCCGCTTGTTACAACTTGTAATAAAGTTGTTACATCTTGGCTTAACGTGTTTATGACGTATTAGAACGTTGTTACAACTTGCTATATTGGTTGTTATAACTGGTTAGGAGGTGTTCAAACTTGCTCGAACGTTGTACCAACGTCGTAGTTTCGATGTGTGTTTGGCGGGTAGGAGCTCTGTGGGGCTCGTTAGGAGTGCTGAAAACAATCTTCCTATGATATTTTGCTAGAATAGTCTAAGATAGAGAACCCAATCTTCCCTAGATTATCTAAGAATCCAGACAAAGATGGAGGATAGCAAACAATATTATTATACCAGGAAACATATCTAGAAATAACCAACCCTAGATTAGAAAACTACTTAGACTTAATTGTCTCTCAACCAGCAGACACCAGAGCCAACGAGCATGTAAATATTCTAGACCTAATCTTCAGAAACCATGAAGAAATAATCAGGGGACATTACAATCTAGGACACCACATACTCAGATCACAAGCTCATTGGAGAGCACACTAACATTAATACCAGTAATAGATCTGACCAACAGATCAAGCGAGAGGGATTATTGTATTAACTCTAAGTTAATATTGAAGGATAGACTGGGGAAAAAATTCAAAGGAACTTGGAAATATTCAATGGGGATCTTTTTTATTAAAAATCCCAGGCAAGGAATATAATAATTGGCTTCAGAAGTACATAAAGTCTGTCTGAAACGTGTTCCTTTGCGGAATGCCAGAAAGCCTAGAGAGAGAGAAGGCAGACGACACTACCTACTTAAGGCTGCAAGGGAAGGGGGAAAGGGAAGGGGGAAGGGAAGGTTGAAGGGAAGGGGAAGGAAGGGGACAGCGGTCGACTAACAGTAGGTATCCAGTGACCGTTTCAACAGAAGAGGGAAAAAATAACGGAAATGGTTCAGCAAACGCGATCATCTCATCAAAGATTGAATAATTTAAACGGGGAGATTGAAGAGACAGATCTGAAGCAATCATATCAGATTAAGAAATGGTATTAGAACAGAAAGTCATTCAAGAGATGAAGACAAATAAAAATATATTTCTTCACATATGCGAAGTCGAAAGCAAAAAACTTTGTCGGTATTGGACCTATGCTTACAAGTGAAGGGTCATACACACATGACAAAGAAATTCCTGAAATCCTAAAAAAAAACAGTATGAGGACATGGTTAGCACCCCAATAAGCAGCATGAAAATGAAAAATCCGGACAACTTCTTTATGCATGATATCCAAACCCCTGAAAATATAACTGATATCAACACTAATTCTGCAGATTTTGAAATAGAAACGGACAGCATGCTCATACACTCAGCCCTGAGTGCAGACTCCTGGAACTCAATATTGATAAAGACACTCAAAGTGCCAATAGCACAAGCACCCGGTGTAGCGTTTAGAAAGAACTTGGACATGGATGACACACCAGAAGTGTCAAAAATCAGCATACATCGCTCCCCCGATGTATGCTGAGCCGGTCGGCCGAGCGGACAGCACACTGGGCTTGTGATCCTGTTGTCCTGGGTTCGATCCCAGGCGCCGGCGAGAAACAATGGGCACAGTTTTTTTCACCCTATGCGCCTGTTACCTAGCAGTAAAATAGGTACCTGGGTGTTAGTCAGCTGTCACGGGCTGCTTTCTGGGGGTGGAGGCCTGGTCGAGGACCGGGCCGCGGGGACACTAAAGCCCCGAAATCATCTCAAGATAACCTCAAGAAGATAACCCCCTACACAAGGGAAAGAGTAAAGCATTAGCAAACAGTTATTGACCTCATTTCTTTTGTAAATGGCGCTAACATCCTAAATAATAAAAGTTTCTGAGAGTCGGAGTCAGATCGCCAGTTTTATACCTACCAATGACCTCCACAACCCTGACCAACATGGATTTATGGCAGGAAGATCATGTCTTTCGCAGCTACTCAACCACAATTATCAAATCTAATGAATTAATAGAAAAACAAAATGCAGAATCGTACCTGGCCACAGGCCTAACTCCCAACATAACAAATATATATATAAATATTATTATTTAATAATAGACACACCTCTCCACACCACAGAGATATATTTAAATATTAAATATATTATTATAACCTTAAACTCACAAATTCCAATGTGAACTACCGTCATCATTTTGGGAATGCCAGCAATTGATTCATTAGTTGAAGAGATAGACAGAGGGAGAGACGGGAGGAAAGAGAGAGAGTGTTTTGGTAATCAATTAATAGTGAGAGAGAGAGTGGTGTGAGGGCTGCGGACATCAACATACCGTCACATCATGTGGTAATTACCTCACATCATCGTCGTCTGTCCCTCACACCCAACATTAATGTCACTTGCACACATTGTAATTTATTAGTGTGATATTATCGTTATTATTAATTACACTTGAGTTTTATGAATTCATTTCTTTCATTGGCATTTATGGTCTTTGTGGTCGTTGATCTGTGTGTGTTTCCGCTTCTCTCATTTATTGTAATTATAATTATTTTCTGGTTTATCAGCATCGCTGTTTCTCGTGTCGAAGACTGAACACAGACTTTCCGACAATCAGGTTCCCGTTCAGTATTGGTACTGCTAAAATCGAACCGAGGATTGAACTATCCACGAGGAATGCATTTATGACAAATGTCAAAGCTTTCTCATTCTTGGTATAAAAGCCTCCAATAGCTGACCAATTTTATCGACATGTCATTGCGACCCTTCTTTCTCTCTCTCTCTCTCTCTCTCTCTCTCTCTCTCTCTCTCTCTCTCTCTCTCTCTCTCTCTCTCTCTCTCTTCCTCTCTCCTGTCATTACCAGCTTTGGGTATGGAACTCCTTGTTTTTGTGTGCTTTTTATCCGTAAATTCGTTGTCAATAATCGAACTCTTCGTAGACCAGGTGTGAGGAGCGGTCCGGTAACTGTGTGGGGACAGCGACAGCTGCTTGAGACGACTCTCAGGCTGTTTGGGGAGTTGTTTGACTCTCCGGCTCTCTCCAGACACGACTCTCCGGCTCTCTCCAGACGCGACTCTCCGGCTCTCTCCAGACGCGACTCTCCGGCTCTCTCCAGACGCGACTCTCCGGCTCTCTCCAGACACGACTCTCCGGCTCTCTCCAGACGCGACTCTCCGGCTCTCTCCAGACACGACTCTCCGGCTCTCTCCAGACGCGACTCTCCGGCTCTCTCCAGACGCGACTCTCCGGCTCTCTCCAGACGCGACTCTCCGGCTGTTTGGTCATGTAGATGAAGATCTTCACCTACATGGTCAAACTACTTCGGCCATGTAGGTCAAACGTAAATAAAAATGTTCGTATCATTTTAGGAGGCTGGACTGACCAAACCACATTAAAATGTGGTGTGCCGGCACCGTAGACTTCAGCACTTGGTGGTACTATCCAGGATAGCCGGGTGGGGTTCGAACCCCACATCAAGCTAATGAGTGTTCGAGCATATGACAGCACACATGGAACACCCCGAGGCGAAAGCCTCGCTTCTTGCAGGTCGGCGTTCGATCCCCAAGGGACTGGGCACCATTCGTTCTATCCGTCCTAACCCAGAAACGTGTCCTCATAACCCTTCCAAGTGTTGGATAGTCATAGAGACTTAGCACTTTGTCTTGATAATGTAGAGTATATCCTTCCCTGGAGGTGCCGGCACTAGCAGGGGCGACTTGTGAGTCAGCGGTAAGACGAGGCAGGATGCAGCAGCCTTATGCTAATCCTGGAATCAACTGTGGTCTGAAGTGGCTCTCAACTCCCAACCTCGCCTCACCTTGCTCCAAAATTTACACCACAAGCTCTAGTTCGCATGCATTCGCTGTGGAGGAGCAGGCGACAGCCACAACTGCGGGGGGAAGAGAGTGTCTGGGGCCAGACGAGGGCCCCCAATGTGGGAGAGTGTCTGGGGCCAGGCGAGGGACCCCAGTGTGGGAGAGTGTCTGGGGCCAGGCGAGGGCCCCCAGTGTGGGAGAGTGTCTGGGGCCAGGCGAGGGACCCCAGTGTGGGAGAGTGTCTGGGGCCAGACGAGGGGCCCCTAGTGTGGGAGAGTGTCTGGGGCCAGGCGAGGGACCCCAGTGTGGGAGAGTGTCTGGGGCCAGACGAGGGGCCCCCTAGTGTGGGAGAGTGTCTGGGGCCAGGCAGAGGGCTTCCAGTGTGGGAGAGTGTCTGGGGCCAGACGAGGGCCCCCCAGTGTGGGAGAGTGTCTGGGGCCAGGCAGAGGGCCCCCAGTGTGGGAGAGTGTCTGGGGCCAGGCAGAGGGCCCCCAGTGTGGGAGAGTGTCTGGGGCCAGGCAGAGGGCCCCCAGTGTGGGAGAGTGTCTGGGGCCAGGCAGAGGGCCCCCAGTGTGGGAGAGTGTCTGGGGCCAGACGAGGGCCCCCAGTGTGGGAGAGTGTCTGGGGCCAGGCAGAGCCAGGTAGGGACACCCCAGTGTGTGTGGGGGCACACGTGCCTGGTGTCCACCTGGGGTAGTGTCAGCCAGGAGGTGGATGTCACCCGGTGAACGGTTGTGCCCACCTCCAAGGCTGTGTTCTCCCTCACTCTCTAACCTTATACGCGTGTCCAAGTTATGCTGGACCATTAAAAACTCTCTCTCTCTCTCTCTCTCTCTCTCTCTCTCTCTCTCTCTCTCTCTCTCTCTCTCTCTCTCTCTCTCTCTCTCTCTCTCTCTCTCTCTCTCTCTCTCTGTCTGTCTCTCTCTCTCTCTCTCTCTCTCTCTCTCTCTCTCTCTCTCTCTCTCTCTCTCTCTCTCTCTCTCTCTCTCTCTCTCTCTCTCTCTCTCCTCCCTTAAAACATATTGTTTGAAAAGACTTAGAAGTTACTTGAAGCGTAGTTTTAGACTCCGGCATAATCCGCGGGGCGTGAGAGTGAGCCACTAAGTCCAGGTGGTGGTGCGGGCGGCCTCCGCCTCCTACTTTCATTAGAGCAAGGGGCGGCTTCCCCAGCACACTGTAAACAAAATCTGGCAATCCTACCAACTTTACTATTCACACGCTTCCCACTGCCGCCCACCTTCTTCCTCCTCCTTTCGTTTTTCCCCGTTTGTGTCTCTTGATTCTCTCTCTTTTTTTCAGCCTCAGAGAAGCTAAAAAGGGAATAAGAGTCGACGGGGAGGATAATATTGCTAAGACTTTGAACTAAGGAGCAGGAGGCCAGGGTTCGAAGGGTGTAGTCGACACGGAAGGGGCCCGGGGTGTCCGCTTGGGTTTAGCTCGTGGCTAAACTCATGATAATCGCAGGAGTTAATATGAAATTGCTACCAGCGGCTCTGGTGGTGAACTTTATTCATAATGTATAAAAGTACCGATAACGCCCCCCCCCCCTGTTTGTCTCTGCCTAACTCCACACTCTCTGTGTCTCTGCCTAGCTCCACACTCTCTGTGTCTCTGCCTAGCTCCACACTCTCTGTGTCTCTGTCTAGCTCCACACTCTCTGTGTCTCTGCCTAGCTCCACACTCTCTGTGTCTCTGTCTAGCTCCACACTCTCTGTGTCTCTGCCTAGCTCCACACTCTCTGTGTCTCTGACTAGCTCCACACTCTCTGTCTCTGCCTAGCTGCACATTTTCTGTGTCTCTGCCTAGCTCCACACTCTCTGTGTCTCTGCCTAGCTCCACACTCTCTGTGTCTCTGCCTAGCTCCACACTCTCTGTGTCTCTGACTAGCTCCACACTCTCTGTCTCTGCCTAGCTGCACATTTTCTGTGTCTCTGCCTAGCTCCACACTCTCTGTGTCTCTGCCTAGCTCCACACTCTCTGTGTCTCTGACTAGCTCCACACTCTCTGTATCTCTGTCTACCTCCACATTCTCTGTGTCTCTGACTAGCTCCACACTCTCTGTATCTCTGTCTACCTCCACATTCTCTGTGTCTCTGACTAGCTCCACACTCTCTCTGTGTCTCTGTCTAGCTCCACACTCTCTGTGTCTCTGACTAACTCCACACTCTCTGTGTCTCTGACTAGCTCCACACTCTCTGTGTCTCTGACTAACTCCACACTCTCTGTGTCTCTGACTAGCTCCACACTCTCTGTGTCTCTGACTAACTCCACACTCTCTGTGTCTCTGCCTAGCTCCACACTCTCTGTGTCTCTGACTAGCTCCACACTCTCTGTGTCTCTGACTAGCTCCACACTCTCTGTGTCTCTGCCTAACTCCACACTCTCCCTGGCTCTGCCTAGCTCCACACGCTCTGTGTCTCTGTCTAGCTCCACACTCTCTGTGTCTCTGCCTGGCAGTGTTGGTGTGGTGTTCTTGGGGTGGTGTGGTCGGGGGGGGGGTGGAAGGGTAAGCTGAGACGGGCTTCAAGCTTGGGAAAATTTAGTTAACTTGATCCTTACAAATCATTGGAGAGCACGCAGTCCGCCCCAGGAGGGATTCGAAGTCTATTAGAGCCTCAAAAGAAGGGATTGGACGCTTCTTACGCACATCGGGAGGGGGATCAGATGCGGAATGTATTACGAGTGTGATTGAATTTTCTTTAGATTATTTAACGCCCCGGAAAATGCCTCGGGAATCTGTTGAGGGATTTGTCGTTTTGGTCCGGGTCCCCTGTGGCTTGGATGGGTGTGTGGGTGGTGGTGTGAGGGTGGGTGAGGGCGTGGATGAGGAGGTGGGTGAGGGCGTGGATGAGGAGGTGGGTGAGGGAGTGGGTATGGGTGTGGGCACTTACCCAGTTATATTTACCAAGTTGTGCTTACGGAAGTTGTGCTTCGGCTCTTTGGCCCTGCCTCAACTATCAATCAACTGGTATACAGGTTTCTGAGCCTATTGGATTCTTATCATATCTAGTTTTACAACGGCGTATGGAGTTGATTGACAGATGAGAGGCAGGGGCCAAAGTCCCGAAGCGCAACCCCCCATAAGCACAACTTGGTAAGTATAACTAGGCGAGTACCTCCACCACATCACGCCCTAGTCAGTACATAATCTTTGTTAACTACTCTGACACTGAAAACAAGTCTTTCTAATGTCTCTGTGGATCATTTTGGGTCAGTTTCCACCTGTGTTCCCACGTACCAGTACCACGCGTGGTACTGGTACGTGGTATACGTTACATATATGCATATATATTAGGAGGGAGTAGGAGGAAAAAAGGAGGGGATAGAAGAGAAAGGAGGAGGAGGAGGATAGGAAGGGAAGAAAGAGGGTTGAAAGGAGAGGAGAATTGCAGAACCTTATCCCTTGTAAGCCCCAAGTTTTATTACAAACTCTCTCTCTCTCTCTCTCTCTCTCTCTCTCTCTCTCTCTCTCTCTCTCTCTCTCTCTCTCTCTCTCTCTCTCTCTCTCTCTCTCTCTCTCTCTCTCTCTCTCTCTCTCTCTCTCTCTCTCTCTCCCTCTCTCTCTCCCTCTCTCTCTCTCGCTCTCTCTCTCTCTCTCTCTCTCTCCCTCTCTCTCTCCCTCTCTCTCTCTCCCTCCCTCCCTCCAGCCTCCACTTGAGATTATCTGGAGTCTTCCCGGCTCCCCCAGCCTTACTGGACGGCGACTCACAAGGGTCTGGCTTCAGGAATTTTGTTGGTTTAAACGCCCGCTCATTGCCAAGCGCAACACCCTGTAGCAGCGTGTTCAGCCGCCGGCAACCAGAAATACCAAGGAACCATTGTACCAGCGGGAATGGGAATGTCCAAGATATGATGTTCGTTATTCCCCAAATGTGAGAATAGCCCAGTAAGCTGATAGTCCTCAGGCAAGCTTGTTTTCCCGCTTGTTTCGTACCGGCTTTTGTTTGCTTTTGGGTTTTTTGGCGCGGGTTAGACGGCTTTTCTTTAGTCGTTTTGAGACAAGGAGTGAGTCTTGCTGGTGCTGCTGCCAGCCTTGTAGACTTGGACTGGAGATTAACTGCCTCTCACCCGGTATACACTTCTGCTTCTCACCCAGTACACACTCCTGCCTCTCACCCGGTACACACTCCTGCCTCTCACCCAGTACACACTCCTGCCTCTCACCCGGTACACACTCCTGCCTCTCACCCAGTATACACTCCTGCCTCTCACCCGGTACACACTCCTGCCTCTCACCCAATACACACTCCTGCCTCTCACCCGGTACACACTCCTGCCTCTCACCCAATACACACTCCTGCCTCTCACCCAATACACACTCCTGCCTCTCACCTAGTACACACTCCTGCCTCTCACCCAGTACACACTCCTGCTTCTCACCCAGTACACACTCCTGCCTCTCACCCAGTACACACTCCTGCCTCTCACCCAGTACACTCTCCTGCCTCTCACCCAGTACACACTTCTGCCTCTCACCCAGTACACACTCCTGCCTCTCACCCAGTACACACTCCTGCCTCTCACCCAGTACACACTCCTGCCTCTCACCCAGTACACACTCCTGCCTCTCACCCAGTACACACTCCTGCCTCTCACCCAGTACACACTCCTGCCTCTCACCCAGTACACACTCCTGCCTCTCACCCAGTACACACTCCTGCCTCTCACCCAGTACACACTCCTGCCTCTCACCCAGTACACACTCCTGCCTCTCACCCAGTACACACTCCTGCCTCTCACCCAGTACACACTCCTGCCTCTCACCCAGTACACACTCCTGCCTCTCACCCAGTACACACTCCTGCCTCTCACCCAGTACACACTCCTGCCTCTCACCCAGTACACACTCCTGCCTCTCACCCAGTACACACTCCTGCCTCTCACCCAGTACACACTCCTGCCTCTCACCCAGTACACACTCCTGCCTCTCACCCAGTACACACTCCTGCCTCTCACCCAGTACACACTCCTGCCTCTCACCCAGTACACACTCCTGCCTCTCGCCCAGTACACACTCCTGCCTCTCACGCAGTACACACTCCTGCCTCTCACCCAGTACACTCTCCTGCCTCTCACTCAGTACACTCTCCTGCCTCTCACCCAGTACACACTCCTGCCTCTCACCCAGTACACACTCCTGCCTCTCACCCAGTACACACTCCTGCCTCTCACCCAGTACACACTCCTGCCTCTCACCGAGTACACACTCCTGCCTCTCACCCAGTACACACTCCTGCCTCTCACCCAGTACACACTCCTGCCTCTCACCCAGTACACACTCCTGCCTCTCACCCAGTACACACTCCTGCCTCTCACCCAGTACACACTCCTGTCTCTCACGCAGTACACACTCCTGCCTCTCACCCAGTACACTCTCCTGCCTCTCACTCAGTACACGCTCCTGCCTCTCACCCAGTACACTCTCCTGCCTCTCACCCAGTACACACTCCTGCCTCTCACCCAGTACACACTCCTGCCTCTCACCCAGTACACTCTCCTGCCTCTCACCCAGTACACACTCCTGCCTCTCACCCAGTACACACTCCTGCCTCTCACCCAGTACACACTCCTGCCTCTCACCCAGTACACACTCCTGCCTCTCATCCGGTACACACTCTTGCCTCTCACCCAGTACACACTCCTGCCTCTCACCCAGTACACACTCCTGCCTCTCACCCAGTACACACTCCTGCCTCTCACCCAGTACACACTCCTGCCTCTCACCCGGTACACACTCTTGCCTCTCACCCAGTACACACTCCTGCCTCTCACCCAGTACACACTCCTGCCTCTCACGCAGTACACACTCCTGCCTCTCACCCAGTACACTCTCCTGCCTCTCACTCAGTACACTCTCCTGCCTCTCACGCAGTACACACTCCTGCCTCTCACCCAGTACACACTCCTAACTCACCAGTCATTGCGCCTAGACAATGAGAACAAGGCCATTCCTAGTCGTGTAACTGGGCAGTTTAGGAACATACTTTAAGAAGCACTTATCGGTTCGCTGGTTTCATGTTATACACCCCTGGCAGTATATTATACACCTCGCTATTGTATGCTATATCCTTCATGATATATATTGTATAATTTTCAAGCTGAAATACGTATTTTCCAAATATTTTCTGATTGTGTTTTTGTATCGTTACGATGCATATCTGAGCGCCATCTATCGGGGTCCGGATATTATATTAGCCTGGACATAATGGATAAGAACCAGAGTGAAAATATATATCACCTCCAGACTGGTGTTGGTCATTGGGAGGTATCGAACTGGGGTGTTGTAAATCCTGGCCGGCCCACCGGACGGGGGAGCCTGGTGAACAACAACAACAGTGTTATGTACGAGGGTCTTGTTGAACGATGTCTGGTGTACGTTTGGTCTGGGGGAGGGAGCCGGAGGCCAGACACAGGGTGCCGAGTGGGGATGAGGTCCTTGATGAAGCACACATAGAGAGATGTACTTTAGGGTTGATATGGCACGGAACATGACCCCAGAGGTCCACATCCCCAGAGGCCCACATTCCCAGAGGACCACATTCTCAGAGGCCCACATTCCCAGAGGGCCATATTCTCAGAGGCCCACATCCCCAGAGGCCCACATCCCCAGAGGCCCACATCCCCAGAGGTCCACATCCCCAGAGGCCAACATCAAAGGAACATTATCTGTGCCATATACGAGGCTGGCTAACATAACAGCTGTCTGTAGTAACCTCTGCAAGGCTCTGAATGATTCCTTACATATGTCAGACCAACCCTGAAGTATGCAGCTCCAGCAAGTATAGTCCATATCTAGTCAAGTACAAGACGAAGTTTGATGAACATTCAAAGGCTAGTTCACCAGACTAGTTCCAGAACAAAGAGGTATGAGTTACAAGGAAAGCTAACATTAACTGAACCTCACGTCGTTGAAAAACAGAAAAGTTAAGGGAGATATGATTACAACATACAAAATTCTCATGGAAGTTGGTAGGAGTGAAGTGAGGTACCGAGCAGTGCTCACCGCGGAATAGCACCTGATTTATATATATATATATATATATATATATATATATATATATATTTTTTTTTTTTTTTCATACAGAAGGGAGTACCACCTCTAGCTGGAAGAAGGGGGACCCATAGCCTCGGAGGAAACCACGCATAACGCATTAGAGGGAATGTTTAGATCCCCTCCAATACAGTTTCTGTGTGCTTTTCTCCTACCACCCCCTTCCTTGAATATTTTTTGTGCTTTATTATGCATTTGATGGTTACAAGATATACATGGGTTGATACAAAAATAATAATGCAAAAAGGTGCTTAAAGGTTATGGATCTCTTGAAGAACACAACAATGGGAAACATTGATGAATGTCACAGACGGGTTCGATCATTGTTGCAAGTCAAACACTTCTTCGAATTCCTCTGAAGTTGGACTAGTGCCCAAGACGCAACAGGCATTTCCCCTCTGAATCGCAACACTGAGGCGCTGGAACAAGAAACTTTTTGCTCTCTGGTCTTTTGTAGCGCTGATCAATTTGTCCCCCAATTCCTTCAGGAACTTCAATGCACATTTTCCCCACGAACCGAGGGTCTCCGAGCCGATCGGAACAAAGCTGTAGCAGTGTGCTAGACCTCTGTATTTAATAATTTTCTGCGATTCCCTGAAAGAAGCAGCACCACCGCTTTCACGTGTGCTGTAGTGGAGGTAGGTACTGGCCAGTGTGGCAGCGCACGTGTAGTCCCATACCACTTGCTTACCATCCTTCCAAGGTAGCAAGGTGACCCCATCAGGGCGCTTCTGAGGGTCGTTAGGTCTGGATAAGTGTGGTTCTCTTTGTGCCGGGCAGCGGGCTGTGGCGAGGCTCCTCTTGATGATGTCGTTGACTTCTTCATGTCTTGCAATTTTACCCTGTGATTTACGACATACCAGACCATGACGACCATATTGGTCTGCCATCGCAGTTCCGCAGATGCACCTATGTTCGGTGAGGATGGGGGCGGCAAGGCGAAGGGCAACTCCAATGCGGAGAGCGTCATGACTGAGGCGAGTTCCCAGGGCTGCATTGGGCACAGCAAATAAAAAATCCCCGGCGTGGGGTGCTGTTACCGCTAGGAGGCGGGCTTTGTTTTCAGCATCAGCGTTGTCAATCATTGCTGTGACAGTCTTTTCCATTATGGGGCTATCCCAGTGGGCCTGCTTGTGGTCTTTTGGGACTTGTGGTCGGGGTTGAGGGTGTGCAATGGTGTCCCATTGTCTGGCTGCTTCGATGAACGTTTGATCATGAGTTCCCGCTGTCTCTCTCATACGCTCTGGTAGGATCTGCCCTACCAATTCGTTGGCTGCTGTACATGAGGATAAGAATGCTGGAAGTGCTACCTCAGTTGCCTTTCGTATGCCTATCCCTCCAAATCTCACTGGTAGTGTTGCTTGGTCCCACTGACTGTCATCTAAATCTAGGTTGAGCGCCTTCCTGAATATTGACCTGAGGAGCTCATCATATTGATTTAGAAGTGGGTTGCCAAAAGTTGGTGCACACCTTAAGAAGTATGTTAGCCTGGGCAGGGTAAGGCACTTTGTGAGAAGGTAGAGGGCATCGTGGGAGTCCAAGTCCCCAATTCTCTCTTCCATCCTCTTTAGATCTCTAAACTTTTCGTCAAGGACTGCAGCAATGGCATTGTGGCCCAGAGGTGCTCCGAGTAGTGTGCTGTCGGTAGGTTTAACGACTGAGGCTTCTGGTAGAACTGATTTCACTGCTCTAATGATTACTTCACTAGATGCAATAATATATATATATATATATATATATATATATATATATATATATATATATATATATATATATATAATATATTCAGCGAGTGTATACTACTACACAAATATCGAGTAAGTGCAATTTACAAGAAAAAGGTTATTTGAAGGTTTACGAAGTGTTAATAATTTTAACTGCAAGTTTATCCTGGCGAACACCAAATTAATTAACTCCAATAACAACGAGCTGTTAGCATAATGGCTGTGGTTTTATCAAAAGGTGATTATGCGTGTTGATTGGGCCAATCGTCGAGGGCGCTCGGATCTAATGGTAATCCCAGCAGAATTATACATTCAAAACATAAGTCTCCAACCCATGAAATTGCCGCAGTATCCCTCTATTACCACCGACTCGTTGAATACACCGCGTGAATGAAGCGGGTTTCATATCGTTGCAAGGTTTGATGCGTTTAAATACATCCCCGCGGCAAACTTGATGTGGGTATGGTCGCTAGGTATCCAGGGATGAAATGCACTCAGGATGCATTGGGTCGCTCGCCCAGCTAACACCTACACCAACCGCGCCGTTTTCTTCGAGGTCATAATAGGGAAGACGAGGGGGGTACTCAAGCACTCTCGAGGAGTTGGAACGGAAGTGGTGTGTAATATTGTAGTTGGTCGCTTGCGATATCTCTCTCTCTCTCTCTCTCTCTCTCTCTCTCTCTCTCTCTCTCTCTCTCTCTCTCTCTCTCTCTCTCTCTCTCTCTCTCTCTCTCTCTCTCTTTCTCTCTCTCTGAAATAACTTTGTAAGATTTAAAATTGCTATTTTTCTGGCGAGAGCACTTCAGTACATTCTCAAAAGAACTGCTCGCAATAAATAGATTCATAACTATTTATCAGAAAATAACACAATATAGAGCAACGTTCAATTTGTGAAAAGTATAAATTGAAGAGGAAAATAATAGTGTGGTAATGATTACTCAACAACTTCACATAAAAATATAATGTTCCACGCCATAATTTCCTCGGACCGGTGCACTTGCTCCTTCTTAATCATATATATTTGTCAACCTCTAATTGTATAGATTTTAAGTAACATATGAGTTCTGAGGAATTTATCGTTGGTTTAGTGATAAGTTTGACGACAAGCTGTGAGAGTGGAGACGAGTATTGGAAGTCTCTAATGCTACTGCTTTTATTATCTACTGTTTTCTTCTGCTTACATTGTACCTGCTTACCTTGAGGTTACCTTAAGGTGCTTCCGGGGCTTAGCGTCCCCGCGGCCTGGTCGTCGACCAGGCCTCCTGACCATCGACCATGGCTTCCTCCCATGTTTATTCTCTTCTGTCATATTTTCCTATATCATTTTCTTCACCACGTTCTCTTTATCCTTTGTCTTCTCCTTCTGCCCTTTGCACAGTAATGAATTCTAGATACTTAGGTATGGTCAAAATAAAGAACTTACACGAAATACAGGGTACAAGGCACAATAAGATGCCTCAAAGAACAAAAAAATATATATAAAAGATCTGGGAATAATGATGTCAAACAACCTGACATTTAGTGAGCATAACAAAGCCAATACAGCATCAGCCAGGAAAATGATAGGTGGGATTACAACCATTTTCAAACCCAGTGATGTCACTACACTGCTCCTACTTTTCAAATCCCTTGTACTGTTCGATTACTTGCACCTATCTCTTCCACAACAGGAGAGATTTTTGGAATAATACAATTTAATCATTCCCGTTCTCGAGGACAAGAAATCTGTTTATGTATTCTTGAGGCTGTATCGCAGTGTCCTCGAGGTCGACTTCGAGGACACTGTGACATCCCTGGGATGCAGGATGACCTCGGGGACATCCCCGGGATGCAGGATGACCTCGGGGACATCCCCCAGAATGCAGGATGACCTCGGGGACATCCCCAGGATGCAGGATGTCCTCGGGGACATCGCCCAGGTTGCAGGATGACCTCGGGGACATCCCCAGGATACAGGATGACCTCTGGGACATCCACAGAGTACAGGATGTCCTCGGGGACATCCCCAAGATGCAGGATGACCTCGGGGACATCCCCCAGGTGCAGGATGCCCTCGGGGACATCCCCAGGATGTCCTCGGGGACATCCCCAAGATGCAGGATGACCTCGGGGACATCCCCAGGATGCAGGATGTCCTCGGGGACAT